CTCTCCACAGTCCCAAAGCTGGCCCCCAAAGCTATTCCCCACAATTATTCCCAAAAATGCGCCCGAAAGCAACTCCACACAATTATCCAAACTTGCTACTAAAAATTACTTCCCGAATTTCTTTGTAAATCTAGACGAAAGCTGCTGTGCTTCAAAGAAAATATTCCTCAAAATTATTCCGGAAAGTTGTCGCTCCCCAAGGTTGTTCCCCGAAATTGCTTCCCAAAGTGCTAAACCCCCGAAAGTTGTTTCCGAAAGCGGCTTCCCAAAGTTCCTTTCTAAAACTACTTCCCAAAGCTGTCGTTCTTCAAAGCAACTATTCGTCAATGCTACTGCAAAGCCGAAAAGTTGCTCCCCACAGTTGCTCCCAAAGCTGCTCTTCAAAGTTGCTACCGAAAGCCGCATCCAAAAGAAGCCCCCCAAAACTCCAAAGCTGCTGCCCGAAGCTGCCTCAAAGCTGGTCCGGAAAGCTGTCCAAAGCTGTTCCCCGGCGCAGCCCCCCAAGAAGTTGTGCCCCAAAGCTGTTCTCCAAAGCTGTTGCCCCAAAGCTGGGATTCTGCAAACCTGTTCACCAAAACGGCTCCCCAAAGCCATTCTGCAAAGCGGCTCCCAAAAGCTGCGCCCCAAAGTTGCTACCAAAAGCTGCTCCACAAAGCTGCTGTCCAGAGCTATTGCCCAAAGCTGCGATTCTTCAAACCTATTCCCCCAAAACTCCCCAAAGCTATTCTGCAAAGAGGCTCCCGAAAGCTGCTCCCGAAAGATGTTGCTGAAAGCTGCTCCCCGAAGTTGAAAGCTGCCCCGAAAGCTGCTCCCAAAGCTGCTGCTCTTCAAAGCAATTGTTCCTGAGAGTTGTTCCGGAAAGCTTGCCAAAACTGCTCCCCAAAGCGGCTCCCGAAACTGCTTCCCAAAGATGTTCCCCAAAGCACCTCTGCAAAGCGGTTGCCCCAAAGCGGCTATGCTTCAAACCTGTTTTTGAAAGCGTTCCCGAAAGCTACTCTCCAAAGTGGCTCCCGGAAGCTGCTCCCCAAAGTTGCGTTCTAAAGTATACTCCCCAAAGGTGCTCCCCAAAGCTGCGGTTCTTCAAAGCTGCCGTGCAAAGCTGCTCCCCAAAGCTGGTCTCCAAAGCTGTTCCCTGGCGCTGCTCCCCAAAGTTGTGCCCCACAGCTATTCTCCAAAGTTGTTGCCCCAAAGATAATATAATATAATATACTATAATGTATAATATAATATAATATAATATAACATAATGTATAATATAATATATTATAATATAATATAATACAATATAATATAATAATATACTGTTAAATTATCTTATATATTGAATTACTATATATTGTATATTATATTATAAATTGTATTGCATTATAAAAACATATTAAACTAAGTATGATATGATATTTCATATTATATATTGAATTATTTATTAGATTATGTCATAAATATTACATTATATTATATTTTAAATTATCTATTGTATTATATATTAAATTTGAAATTATATTACAGTATATTTTAAATTATACTGTGTCATATATTATATTTTATCATATCATATTTATATTTTTCTTCGATCCCACAAAAGAATATATTACTTACCTCACCCAGGACTGGCACTTAGCACGAGTAGTCGTCTGTTTCCCTCTCACTTTTTGACAGTCTTCGTATTTTTCCGCCATGCTTAGTTCTGAGACACGCTCCTTCCTTCCGCCGCAACCCAGCTCTTGGGGGGAGCTAAAGGCCTTTGCAAAGCATTAGTTCTGCTTTTGCTGTTCAATTTCAGTGTCGTCCTGCAAACAACAGTCACTAGGCTCTGAACTATCAAGCACTTGCATATCTTGCATGCTGACTGTCCAATCACTACACACGATTCGTTTCTTTCTTCGTTTTTCTACCTAGAGTATGGTACTCTGTGACTCCTACGGGCGTTCAAACATACTCTGTTGCAAAGCCATAGCCACCCAGATATAGGCCCAATATTGTCACAATCCTTGCGAGCCGCTTCCAAAGCCACCAACATTGCGCCACATCCGTTTTTCAAGGTGTTCTTGCCTCTCCCACTGGCTCTTGCTTCTGGGATGCGGGAACATCCTGTGCAGCAGGTTTTCTATGAGCGCTGACAGCAACAAAGGACACAAGAACAAGCGCAACCCACGGCAAATCACTGACAAATCACAACAGCAGCTGCAAACAAGTAGATTGATGATAGCTGCTCCACATGATGGCAGCACATTGCGGTAAACACAGATTTTTTTGCTTTCATCGAATATTTGTCAAAAAAACCAAAAGTCAAAGTCCAACGGTTTAGAAGAAACCCTCAATGAAGACCAATCTGATCGCTGCAGAACCAGCTGAAAATGATGATGATAATGATGATGATGATGATGATGATGACACTGATGATGTAGATGTAGATGCAGATGTATATAAAGGTATATAAGAATATATATATATGTGTATATATATGTATATATGTATATATATATGGCGATTGGGTACAGACCTGTTAGTACTCCGTAAGCCATTCGTAAGTCTACTCCTTGAAGGTCTTTGAAGGTCCGCGATCCTCAAGCCCACAAAGCGCAGCAAACCGCTCTTTTCCTGTTCCAGGGGTCTAGTGTTGCTTGAGCCAAACGACGGGATGCGATAAAGGTCTCCTTCCCGTGTGGCTCTGGCACATGACCTATATGGGGTAGTACCTGGCCTGAATTGTATTCACACCCCCACGCACATCGAAAGTTTGAGGCTTGGGCGCAGGAGAGTGGATGCCAGGGCTTAGATTTCCCCAGCTTAATTGAATGAAATTGGTAACATTTGCCTTCTTCAAAATCGTGTGTCCTATATCGACGCTATCCGGTTCCTCATGCTTGTCGAAAGACTTGCGTGGTTCCCCGAATTATGCATCCATCTGCTGGCTCTCCGAAGGACGTGCCCGCTTCACGAATGCATCTTGCACGAATTAGGATCTACGCAGCGAAGGCTGGTAGTACCAGAGGTTTTTCTCTAGTTTGAGGCACCGCTGTCTCGTGATCCCGGTGTGTCCGATGGACGGGCCAGGGCCGCAAAGGACATATGGGCTTCATTGCTGCTAGTATTGTTCTGCGACATCGCTTCGGTTACTGTGCTTCACACCACTTCTGTTTACACCAGTGCAATCGACGGGTAGTAGGGCAAGGGGTGCAGGTTGCCGAAGTCGATGAAGAAGAGCCGCGTCTAATCAGCCACCAGTCAAGCTTTGGCATGCGAAGTCTGGCTGAAGGTTGTGTGGAAGTAGTTCTTGAGCAGTTAGTTGTTGGACCACCGTGCGCCCCAGGGTAGTGCGTACAGCTGATGACCTGAGATTGGGTGCAGACGTGTTAGTAAGTCTACTCCTTGAAGGTCTTTGAAGGTCCGCGATCCTCAAGCCCACAAAGCGCAGCAAACCGCTCTTTTCCTGTTCCAGCGGTCTAGTGTTGCTTGAGCCAAACAACGGGATGCAATAAAGGTCTCCTTCCCGTGTGGCCCTGACACATGACCTATATGGGGTAGTACCTGGCCTGCATTGTATTCACATGTATATTACAGTATATAATATATATATATATTCGTACATGCACCTACATACATACAAGATCATGCACGTATATAATTGTATTTCATGATTGTTCTCAATGTATTGTCTCTGTCGACCAGGATATGTGTGATTCAAAAATGGTCTCTTGATGAGGCTATAAAGGAGTCTAGTCTGCTTACACACTGCCTTTGCAAATCTTTCCAAAGAGTGTTCTGCGTTCGAATGGTATTGCACCCAGGCCAACTTTAAGATCTTTAAGTTGGTGAATCCCATCCGTTGATTGATGCTGTGAGATGCAACGTGCCTGGCCAACTGGCTCTTGTTGTTGAGGAACGTCGTCGTCCTCCAGAAAAAGAAGCATCTTAACCACGTCCAGAGTTTCTGCAGCCATTGAATTCAGACTTGACAAAAATGAACCCAACCACTTGGCAGCTAGCAACACATCAACGGAATTCTTTAGGCATGTTCTCGTTCTCCAGAGCATCTCAGATATTTCAGAGCTTTCTGGCCTTGCCAAGTGGCTCTTTCTTCTGGGATGCGGGAACATCCTGCACAGCAGGATTTCTATGAGCGCTGACAGCAACAAAGGATACAAGAACAAGCGCAACCCGCGGCAAATCACTGACGAATCACAACAGTAGCTGCAAACAAGTAGATTGATGATAGCTGCTCAACATGATGGCAGCGCGTCGCGGTAAACACGTCTTTTCTTTTCTTGCTTTCATCGAACATTTGTCCAAAAACCAAAAGTCAAAGTCCAACTTAAAAGATACCCTCAATGAAGACCAATCTGATCGCAGCAGAAACAGCTGCGAATGTTGATGATGATGATGATGATGAAAATAATGAATGAATGAATGAATGAATGCATGCATGCATGCATGCATGAATGAATGAATGAATGCATGCATGCATGCATGAATGAATTAATGAATGAATGAATGCATGAATGAATGCATGAATGAATGCATGAATGAATGCATGAATGAATGCATGAATGAATGCATGAATGAATGAATGAATGAGTGAGTGAATGAACGAACGAACGAATGAATGAATATAAATGGATATGAATGAATATGAATGAACATGAATGAACATAAATGAATATTAATGAACATGAATGATGATGATAAATGAATGAATGAATGAAAATGAATGAACATTAAAGAAAATAAATGAAAATGGATGAAAATGAAAGAATAATAATGAACATGGAAGGCAATACATAAAAATGAATTAACATGAATGAACGAACGAACGAACGAATGATGATGCTGATGCTGCTGCAGCTGCTGCAGCTGCTGCAGCTGCTGCAGCTGCTGCTGCTGCTGATGATAATGGTGATAATGATGATGATGATGATGATGATGCCGATGACGACGACGATAACAATAATGATGATGTAGATGTAGATGTATATATATATATTACAGTACTATATATTATATTCATACATGCACCTGCATACATACAAGATCATACACGTATATTAAATATTTTATTATATTTGATGATTGTTCTAAATGTATTGTCTCTGATGACCAGGACATGTGTGATTCAAAAATGGTCTCTTAATGACGCTATAAAGGAGTCTAGTCTTATGAAAAACCGAGCCAGCTACACATTGAAAATCGTTATTTTTTTTTTCATTTTTTTATCGTTTTGGTTATCATTTTATTTATCTTTTTTTTTTCATTTACTTTTTCGTTCATTTTTTTTTATCATTTTATTTTTCATTTTTTTTCATTTTTTTATCATTTTATTTTTCATTTTTTTCATTTTTTTATCATTTTCTTTTTCATTTTTTTCATTTGTTTATCATTTTTTTTGTCATTTTTTTATTCATTTTTGCTTCCAGTGGTGGAATTGATGAAAAATGATAAAAAATGATGAAGAATGATGAAAAATGATAAAAAAATGAAAAAAAATGAAAAAAAACTCGAGGAAAATTGCAATTTTCCAAAAAATGAAAAATTGCAATTTTCCTCGAGTTTTTTTTTCATTTTTTTTTCATTTGTTTATCATTTTTCATCATTTTTGCTTCCAGTGGTGCAAAAATTTTCCGAAAAATAAACAAGTGCAATTTTCCTCGAGTTTTTTTCATTTTTTTCTCATTTTTTTTCATTTTTGTTTCATTTTTTTTTCATTTTTTTTTTCATTTTTCTATCATTTTTGCTTCCAGTGGTGCAAAAATTTTCCAAAAAATGAAAAATTGCAATTTTCCGTGAGTTTTTTTCATTTTTTTCATTTTTTTTATCATTTTTCATCATTTTTTATCATTTTTCATCAATTCCACCACTGGAAGCAAAAATGATAAAAACATGATAAAAAAAATGATAAAAAAATGAAAAAAAAACTCGAGGAACATTGCAATTTTCCAAAAAATGAAAAATTGCAATTTTCCTCGAGTTTTTTCATTTTTTTTTCATTTTTTTTCATTTTTTTTCATTTTTTTTCGTTTTTTTTCATTTTTTTTTTCATTTTTCTATCATTTTTTCATCATTTTTGCTTCCAGTGGCGCAAAAATTTTCCAAAAAATGAAAAATTGTAATTTTCCTCGAATTTTTTTCATTTTTTTATCATTTTTTTATCATTTTTTTATCATTTTTCATCATTTTTTATCATTTTTCATCAATTCCACCACCGGAAGCAAAAATGATAAACAAAATGATAAAAAAATGAAAAAACTCGAGGAAAATTGCATTTTTTTATTTTTCGGATTTTTTTTGCACCACTGGAAGCAAAAATGATGAAAAATGATTAAAAAATGAAAAATGATAAAAAAAATGATAAAAAAATGATAAAAAATGATAAAAAAATGAAGATGATAAAATAAATGATAAAAAAAAATGATGAATGTAATGATAACCAAAATGATAAAAAAATGAAAAAACTATTTTGACCTGGCCCAGTCTGTGGCTGCAAGTTTTCATAAGTCTAGTCTATTTTCTCCAGAGCATCTCAGATATTTCAGAGCTTTCTGGCCTTGCCAAGTGGCTCTTGCTTCTGGGATGCGGGAACATCCTGCACAGCAGGATTTCTATGAGCGCAGAACAAGCGCAACCCACGGCAAATCACTGACAAATAACAACAGTAGCTGCAAACAAGTAGATTGATGATAGCTGCTCAACCTGATGGCAGCGCGCCGCGGTAAACACGTCTTTTCTTTTCTTGCTTTCATCGAATATTTGTCAAAAAACAAGAGTCAAAGTAACGGTTTACAAGAAACCCTTAATGAAGACCAATCTGATCGCTGCAGAATCAGCTGCAAATGATGATGATGATGATGATGATGATGATGATGATGATGCTGATGCTGATGTTGATAATGACGACGACGACGACGACGACGACGATGATGCTGATGCTGATGCTGCTGATGATGATAATAATAATGATGATGAATGAATGAATGAATTAACGAACGAACGAACGAACAAATGAATGAATGATGCTCATGCTGCTGCAGCTGCTGCTGATGCTGATGATAATAATGATGATGATGCCGATGACGATGACGATAACAATAATGATGATGTAGATGTAGATGTAAGTGTAGATGTAGATGTATAAATATATATATATATATACACATACTCCTACATGCACCTACATACATACAAGCTCGTACATACACGTAAAATATATTTACTGATTGTTCTCAATGTATTGTCTCTGTCGACCAGGACATGTGTGGTTCAAAAATGGTCTCTTAATGACGCTATAAAGGAGTCTAGTCTGCTTACACAATGCCTTTGCAAATCTTTCCAAAGAGTGTTCCGCGTTCGAATGGTATTGCACCCAGGCCAACTTTAAGATCTTTAAGTTGGTGAATCCCATCCGTTGATTGATGCTGTGAGATGCAACGTGCCTGGCCAACTGGCTCTTGTTGTTGAGGAACGTCGTCGTCCTCCAGAAAAGGAAGCATCTTAACCACATCCAGAGTCTCTGCAGCCATTGAATTCAGACTTGACAAAAATGAACCCAACCACTTGGCAGCTAGCAACACATCAACGGCATTCTTTAGGCATGTTATCGTTCTCCAGAGCATCTCAGATATTTCAGAGCTTTCTGGCCTTGCCAAGTGGCTCTTGCTTCTGGGATGCGGGAACATCCTGCACAGCAGGATTTCTATGAGCGCAGAACAAGCGCAACCCACGGCAAATCACTGACAAATAACAACAGTAGCTGCAAACAAGTAGATTGATGATAGCTGCTCAACCTGATGGCAGCGCGCCGCGGTAAACACGTCTTTTCTTTTCTTGCTTTCATCGAATATTTGTCAAAACACAAGAGTCAAAGTAACGGTTTACAAGAAACCCTTAATGAAGACCAATCTGATCGCTGCAGAATCAGCTGCAAATGATGATGATGATGATGATGATGCTGATGTTGATAATGACGACGACGACGACGACGATGATGCTGATGCTGATGCTGCTGATGATGATAATAATGATGATGAATGAATGAATGAATTAACGAACGAACGAACGAACAAATGAATGAATGATGCTCATGCTGCTGCAGCTGCTGCTGATGCTGATGATAATAATGATGATGATGCCGATGACGATGACGATAACAATAATGATGATGTAGATGTAGATGTAAGTGTAGATGTAGATGTATAAATATATATATATACACATACTCATACATGCACCTACATACATACAAGCTCGTACATACACGTAAAATATATTTACTGATTGTTCTCAATGTATTGTCTCTGTCGACCAGGACATGTGTGGTTCAAAATGGTCTCTTAATGACGCTATAAAGGAGTCTAGTCTGCTTACACAATGCCTTTGCAAATCTTTCCAAAGAGTGTTCCGCGTTCGAATGGTATTGCACCCAGGCCAACTTTAAGATCTTTAAGTTGGTGAATCCCATCCGTTGATTGATGCTGTGAGATGCAACGTGCCTGGCCAACTGGCTCTTGTTGTTGAGGAACGTCGTCGTCCTCCAGAAAAAGAATCATCTAAAGCACGTCCAGAGTCTCTGCAGCATTGAATTCAGACTTGACAAACATGAACCCAACCACTTGGCAGCTAGCAACACATCAACGGCATTCTTTAGGCATGTTATCGTTCTCCAGAGCATCTCAGATATTTCAGAGCTTTCTGGCCTTGCCAAGTGGCTCTTTCTTCTGGGATGCGGGAACATCCTGCACAGCAGGATTTCTATGAGCGCTGACAGCAACAAAGGACACAAGAACAAGCGCAACCCACGGCAAATCACTGACAAATAACAACAGTAGCTGCAAACAAGTAGATTGATGATAGCTGCTCAACATGATGGCAGCGCGTCGCGGCAAACGCGTCTTTTCTTCTTTGCTTTCATCGAATATTTGTCAAACAACTAAGAGTCAAAGTCCAACGGTTTACGAGAAACCCTCAATGAAGACCAATCTGATCGCTGCAGAATCAGCTGCAAATGATGATGATGATAATAATGATGATGATAGCAGTAACAATGATGTAGATGTAGATGTACATGTGTATATATATATATATATATTACAGTGCTATATATTATATTCATACATGCACCTGCATACATACAAGATCATACACCTATATTATATTTAATGATTGTTCTCAATCGCCCTGATGACCAGGACATGTGTGATTCAAAAATGGTCTCTTAATGACGCTATAAAGGAGTCTAGTCTGCCTACACACTGCCTTTGCAAATCTTTCCAAAGAGTGTTCCGCGTTCGAATGGTATTGCACCCAGGCCAACTTTAAGATCTTTAAGTTGGTGAATCCTATCCGTTGATTGATGCTGTGAGATGCAACGTGCCTGGCCAACTGGCTCTTGTTGTTGAGGAACGCCGTCGTCCTCCAGAAAAAGAATCATCTAAAGCACGTCCAGAGTCTCTGCAGCCATTGAATTCAGACTTGACAAACATGAACCCAGCCACTTGGCAGCTAGCAACACATCAACGGCATTCTTTAGGCATGTTATCGTTCTCCAGAGCATCTCAGATATTTCAGAGCTTTCTGGCCTTGCCAAGTGGCTCTTTCTTCTGGGATGCGGGAACATCCTGCACAGCAGGATTTCTATGAGCGCTGACAGCAACAAAGGACACAAGAACAAGCGCAACCCACGGCAAATCACTGACAAATCACAACAGTTGCTGCAAACAAGTAGATTGATGATAGCTGCTCAACATGATGGCAGCGCGTTGCGGCAAACACGGATTTTTACCTTACTGTTTGAAAAATCAAAGGTCAACATCTTGCGGTTCCAAAGAATCCGTGCATGCAAAACAAAGTCGCGACGAGTGAGCCCAACATCTGATCGCTGCAGAATCAGCTCCAGATGATTTTTCACATGTATTGTTTCATATGTGAATTCGGTCGCTCAATGCCGGCATAAAGCATGCCTCCGTCCTTTTCGCGGAAATTCGCGGAATATTAGCAGCAAACTGCATCCCAACTTCAATTAACTGTGTTGTGTTTATACGCTGCAGTGTCTCAAGAATCCCTTGACAAAATGCAGAAAGACTTCTTCAAGGTTGTGCCGCAAGACCACGATACTTCAAACAGCCACGCTTGTCACAGTGTCATAATTTTTGGAATCCAAACTCAATGATAAGCTGGCCGCGAGCGTAGGTACTTCTCCACAAAATCTAATCACTTCCCAAGTCAGAATGCAACAAACTTAGTGATTGCCACTAAAAATATACTAAAACGATAAACAATCATAAACATACTATCTCTTACTTCGAAGTTGTATCCGTGCTTTGAATGCTTGGCGATAAACCCCCCCGGCCTGATCAGGTGGTTCTTGCCGTGCCTGGGCATCCTGACATGGTCAGAAGCGGATTCGGAGCCAATACTTTCTGAATCGCAGATAGTTCCTGAATCGGTTTTGGATCATCCTGACATGGCAATCATACAACGCATGAATCGCACAATCCGTACTGCATTTGTCGCCAAATGTCGCCAAGACCTTGTTATTGATCGCGCTACTGGTAAGAGTAGCCACTGGAATTATGCACCTTGTAGCATGTCTGCACCTTGAAACACATAGTGCACTCAATATATTTGAAAGGCAAGACATTGTAATTTAAGAGCCGTGTTTTTGCCCCCGGGATCGCTTTAGCGGGCCAAACAAGTTTGGAGTGGTAGATGATTTATTTTTGGCTGGTGTCGGGTGTTGGGTGGTGTTAGGATGGACTTCCACTTCAGCTGTACACTTGACGCTACACCATAGATCGTGTAGTGTGATGTGATGGCATGTTAATGCGAAATCATGCGAAGGGGCAGTTTTTGCTCTGCCATGAAGGGGGGTGGGGTTGCGGGTAAGCTCCTCATCTGCTGCTAAGACATGTGATGAGCAGAACAAAGACTTGATCTCTAACATCTCTAACTAATAAGTCGTCATAGCAATCGACAAGGCAATACTCACAACGTATAAATAAGTAAATAATAGATAATAATAGTAAATAAATAAATGCGTATAAATACGTATATACACTGCAATATACAGTAAAGTCTTTAAGTCAATTGCTAGGTGTTGCCGGTGAGCATGATGCGGTAGCGACTCAAAGAGGAAGTGCAATCCTTCGCTTCCCAATTCAGCAAATTCATCATCAAAACCTGCTACAGTAAGCTGTCTGGAGAAGAGCGCCATTCCCAGCATGAAACGACTGCATGTTCTGATGTACAAACGTCCAATAATGTCAATCATCTGGTCACAATGCAGCTGTTGCGCCATTCTAGCTTGGAGCCATCATCAATTGCTCAGCACCCTATGTTTGCAAGAGTACTGTGCAAAAGGTTGGTACGATGGAAAGGGTATACTTGGCCCTTGTGAACGTGCTGCTGCCGCCAGAGAATCAACCTTTGGCTACCAGCGCACTTTGTTTGCAATACCCTGCAAAGATACGCAAAATGCAAGTGCTCACATACAGTAGCTTGCCTTTGGAACAGCAGAGCTGTGGCAGGAAGTCTTGCTTTCCCCATGCTAATATTTTGCAAAGAGCTTCTTGCGCAAAAACAATGGTTTTGCATGACATCTTGCAACTTTTCAGGTACTACCAGGTACGAGTAAGACTTAACTTCTCGGTGTGCAGCCAGTATCAAAAGAAAAGCAATCAATGTGTCGTGGCAGCCTTGCCTCTGCAAGAATCTGTCTGATATCATCTCGGCTCAGCCGGACAACTGGGGAACCTGGCTTCAAGATCAAAGCAAAACGGTCAAGACTTGGTCAATTTGTCAATGGTGTGCCTTTAGAATCGGCCTTGTGCGCTCATCCAGGTATCAGCTTTCTACAGTTTGAAGGCAGAGTTGAACTATGTTGAACTTATCGATGGGTTGAATTTGAAGGCCTTTGCGACATACAAAATCGCATCTGCAAATCGAACCTAGCAAACAGGACTGAGAGCCGCACCAGCCGTAGTCAATCGAACCTAGCTCAGAAATCGGTCGTGACAAAATAGCTCAGTTATGCTCAGTAGACTTATGACATCAATATGCCAATGAGATCCAATGAGATCCAATGAGCAAGATGAGCAAGGGCCCGTGCCTTCAAGCGATAGTATTCGTAATCGTTCAACTCCATTGGCACCTGGCTTTGTTCAGTCGCTTCACTTGGCCCAATCTATCAGCTGAGGTTTACATCACTCCGAGAGGCCTGGAATGCCGAGGAAGCCGAGGACCTGCGGTGCCAATCATTGCATCATTTGTATTTGTTGCCAACGTTCTTCATCTTCACAAATCTTCATAGATTGGCAAAACGTGTCATAGAAATCTCATGAAATTTGCAAATTTTCATATTCAAATTATTTCGAAATTTGCAAAGCGCCCTGGCCTGGCGTAGAAGCTTCTGTAGAAGTTCGCAATGCCATGCGTATAGCACTTCTGCAGCGCGATTACAAGACCAAGACGTATCAAGACGTATCAATATGTAGCAAGATGTAGCAAGCAGGTTCAGCGAGCCATTGATTTTATCATATTTTATCTGTTGATATCTGTTGCATGGGTTTGTTGACCCTGACGGAACAGACTGTGGTGCCTCCAAGAGATCCAGGTTGTAACGACCCAATTGTTCTGGTGGATGTAATGGTTTCGCCCTATCAAAGAAACACGCCAAACACGTACGTTTGAGAAGGGACAACAACAGCGTTTGAAACAAATGCAATCAAAAGCTGCAGAAGGAAACCAGCTTCAGTGCACACTTGCAAGAGACGATGGATGTCACTGGAATCTTTGGCAACAAGATGGCATGTTATTGTGCTAAGTTGCAAGCTTTGTCAGTTCAGTCAGTGCAAGGTCAGAGCGGTACCAACCATAAAAAGTAACAGCAAGTACAACCTTGGCAGTGTTCTTGCTTGGAATCCCAGTCTGTGACAGCACCAGCCGGCAGGGTCATTAGGTGGATTCAAGCGACTTCAACAAATGCACGTAGCCACATAAGCAACATTACCAATCAGCTTCCTGCCGGAAGCCCGGAAAGTTTATCATACCAATTACCTACTTTTGCAAATTCATATAGTTTCATACAGCTTTCATACAGCTTTCTCTGAAAATTGTGAGTTGCGATGATCTCAAACACTCGGGATGCGACAGCAGCAGGCAAAGCAGCCACCAAGGAGGCGAGCATTCCTGTGTCTGGCTCGTGACATCTCGTGACCAATCCCGTCTCTTGGCTTCGTGCAAGATCAATCCGTAGCAAAGGCTGCCACCAGTGATCACAGCACTTGCACCGCCACATCCCAAATGACGGGCCTAAGTGAAGTGTAGAGCAGGAGATCATTTTGCGCCTAAAAATGATACAAGAGGATTAAAGTGTGTAATACGAGTAATGTATAAACTACTAAATATATCTAACTATATCATACTAACGATCTAGTAAGAGTCAAACTGGTGCTGTACATTTGTGCCATTTATCTCTGCCACTTCGTTGTAAGCTGCAAGCCCACGAAGCGCAAACCACTCCAAGAAGTGCGGCTTCCTGCAAGATTCATACGGTGATCCCAACAAATGTTTTGCATCTCAGGACAATTTGATCCATATCATGATAATTTCGTATGTGGATTCCGCTCATTCCGCTTGGGCATGCACCAGCAGCGAAGCCCATGCCCAAAAACCTTGCGGCAAAGCGATGCAAGATACTTCAGGGTATGGGGATGTATAGTAGAGTACCCATCTGATCTTGCAGTCTTGAATCACTTGGATGGCTCGTCGTCATCGCTCGCTGGCCTGCACCCTTGTTAAGCTGGGCTGCCTTGCCACGCTGGCAACAGGCCACAGTCGACATCCTGCACTGCACATCCTTTGTGTTTACACTGCCTCTGGAGAGCTCAGGTTGTGGGGATCGACTGAAACTCGTCCTGAGCCATGGAAATACAAGGCAGGGCTTTCCACAGCTTTCGAGATCACAGTACAGTAGTTTTTCAAATTTTGAGCATGTTCTCATCACATGTGGTCACCTTGTGTCACCTTGTCACCTTTGTCTTTCAAACACATCTCAGCCTGACAAGCTCTCTCAGCTAGCAACGGAGCTCATCTAAAGCTGCAAGAACCGGAAGAAGCCGACCCAGCCGCCAAAGTGTAGATCTATGCAGCGGTGCTGAGTCACCGTGATTCCGAGGTTTGAGTGAAAACGGATAGGTGTGCCTGTATGACAATTCTATGTACAAGTACTTGGTGTAGATTCAGACAAACAGACAGAAGTCCAAACAAAAACTTCCTTCAGAAACTACCAACTTCACTACTATGCCAACACCCTTCAGCTCGTGTGGCAAGCATGGACGCAGCCCTTTCCTTGCCCGGTGGGGAATTTCCTGATCCTTGCCCAGAGTGTGAGACGCTTCAAAGCGCTGCGCTGGTAAAACTGCAGCCTAACTAGCTGCATCTTGCTGAAGGAGTGAAAAACATGAAACAGACAGACGTTTTTTGCTGGATAGTTGAGTGATGTTGAGTGATACAGTACGGATATGTATGGATACCGGTAGTACCGCACAAGGCGGTGGCGGAAGTTTCAAAAATAGGAAACCTATAGGAGAGGTTGGTTGTTGTGAATCACGGATGGCAGAGCGAAGCCACTGATGGATCGAAAGGTGATTGAGGTCTCCTCCCTCTCTCTCTCTCTCTCTCACACTCATCTGTCTATCTAGCTAGCTAGCTAGCTAGCTATCTATCTATATATCTATCCATCCATCTGTCTATCTACTAGTATCTATCTGTCCGTCCGTCCATCCATCCATACATCCATCTATTCTATCTATCTACCTATCTATCTAGCTATCTAGCTAGCTAGCTATCTATCCATCCATCTATCTATCTATCTAGCTAGCTATCTATCTACCTATCTATCTATCCATCCATCCATCCATCCATCCATCTATCTATCTATCTCATCTGTCTATCTAACTATGTACCTATCTATCTACCTAGTTATCTATCTATCTATCTACCTATCTATCTGTCTATCTATCTATCTATCTGTCGATCGATCCATCCATCCATCCATCCATCTATCTCATCTGTCCATCTAACTATGTATCTATCTATCTACCTATCTATCTATCTCTCTGTCTGTCTATCTATCTACCTGTCTATTTGCAAGCTTGAAAACGAAGCAATTCTGCGAGATGTCTTCATTTTTCCAAGTTGACAACATCAAAAAGGAAGCAATTCTGCGAGACTTCCTTCATTTTTGGGCTTAACAACGTCAAAAACGAACAATTCTGCGAGACTTCCTCAATTTTTGAACTTAACAACGTCAAAAACGAAGCAATTCTGCGAGACTTCTTCATTTTTCACACTTGACAGCATCAAAAACGAAGTAGTTCTGCGAGGCTTCCTTCAAAAATGGAAAGTTGCCTGCAGCGCTGACGGCCTCGTACCAATGCGTTTTGCGATTTTTCCAGTCCACCTGTCGAAAGTACTGCGCATGCCACGAAAAAGTGCCAGGTCATACGAAGTGCTGTGCCTGTCACGCGAAATCATCTCAGCAAACCTGAAGATCTGATGCTCCAAAAGTCAACCCCTCTCAGGAAATCAGCGCCCTGACCGCCTAACAGCTCCGATGAAAATGTCTCTTGTACTGCGCCTGCCACGGAAAATGCATCTTTGCAGATCCTCTTCAAGTGTCCCACGCCTGCCATCGTTTTTGGCAATGCTACAAAACCCTCACGTTTTTGCTCACTTTTGAGAAGGTGCACAATCCCTTGCGCCTGCCACGCGAAAGGAGCTCTGAACATCCACAAGTGGTCCGTACGTGGTGTGCTTTGTACATTTTGACTTTCGCGCCACAACGGCGTGCAGTTTTTCGACATCGCAACTTCTAAAAGTGCTCCGAAGCTGAAGTGTTTTGTACATTTTGACTTCGAAATGTGCTTCGGGCCAGAACGGCGTGCACTTTTCGACATCTCAACTTCCAAAAGTGGTCCCACCCTGGTGTGTTTTGTATATTTTGACATATTTTGACTTGGAAATGTACTTCGCGCCACAACGGCGTGCACTTTTTCATCTCTCATCTGGCCAGATGGCTCCGCACCCGCCGCTTTAGCGAGCCTACTTTTCGACCCTCCGGAGCCACAAAACATTGGAAAAACACAGTGTTTCGCGACTTTCCTACCTTTTCGCGCATCTGCATCTTCTTTCTGACTCTTTCTCTTCTCTGATCTGCTCTCTTCTACTCTTCTCTTCTCTCTGCCTCTGCCCATCTCTGCTTTTCATCTGTCCATATTGTCGGAAATTTGACTTCTAAACTTCCTTCGATTATGGATACAAAGATATGCAGAGTACATAGCTTCAGACGGCTTCAGAGTGAGTTGATCTGCCATCGGCCCATCGTCGACCCAGGCGGCCTGTCAACGTCACAGCGCCTGCTTCTCTTCGAGTTGACTTCATCATTGATTTTCCAAATAGAAGCTACTGTAAATATGTTTATAGAAGCTAAATATGTTTCTTTTTAAAGAGTTCTAAAGATATACATTAAATTAAACTGCATTCATTCATTAATATACATTCATAGATATTCATAGCAATTAAATGTAATTATCTAATAGTTGTCCATAGTCGTGCTGTACAGTATAGCATCGCAGCATGCTGCTGCAGAGACGGCTGGTCATCTTTTTCCATCACAAATTCGTAGGCTTTATGGCTTGCGTAGAAAAAGGTGGTGGAGCAATAGACTGTGGCACCCGAAGAAGTGTGACCTGCGGCGGAATAGCAACTACTTTCCATTGTTTTCCACCCAACTCAGTCACCATAATCACCCTGTGATTGAACTAGGGAATCATGATGAATCACGATTATTAAGCAACCATTTCAGCTTCACACAGCGCACAGAATGCCCACTGTCAAACTCACAACACAGTCGCCTCCACCTGGATGCCTTCTTCCTTGGCGACACAAAACAAGGTACAGGTAGGACCACGTAGGGCACCAAAGGCGCGGGCAATGGGGCTGCAAGTGATTGCCACACGTTGCATCTGAGTCACTGCTTTCTCCAGAATTGAAATGTCAGGATCCTACAGATTTCCAGAATTTTCCAGACATGCTGTCAGAATCTGTCAGATGCAAAGTGCGAAATCCAACCGAACTGAAGGCCCGGCACCACCGTTTTCATTACTTTCTGGCTCTTGAAACATGACTCCTCTCCGTTGATTTTCAGGAGCAGATCGTTAACTCGCAAGGACACATCAGGATGTTCTAGGTTGTGCTGTGCAATCGATCCTAGACACGGAAAGGATGAGCTGCTTGAACTGCAGGTTTGTGGGTTTACGGTGTCGAAAAAACAATCGATTGTGTCGAAAACTTCTACACTGCTGATTGAATCTAAATGTTGCGACATTGCGTCTAACCCGACAAACTCAAAGGTTAGCTGAGCATGTTTGCAAAACGATATGAAATACAACCATATTGATGGGATTTTCTTTGGATTGTTTATCTAATAAATCCAGGAGTGAAGCCTTCGTCTACACCCTTCCATTGACGCACGGCAATATTTGATGGGCTATGCATTTTTTGGACCTCATTCCATTTCTTTTGGACCTGGACCTGGCCCTGCTCCACGGAGTGCAACGCCCCTCTCCTTGTGACACATGGAGTTTCCCGCCTTCCCATTCTCAACTCTTCTTGATTTCTACTTTTCACACCTCTTCCGGCCTTTCTCAGTTACGGAGGGGCTTAACTTGGTGTCAACCTGGGTCTTGGGGGCACCTTACAACAATTCTTTTGGCACATTCGTTTTCCCGCCTCTGCCCCACAACAATTTCCTGCATTCATTTGGCTTCATGTCTGGTTACCCGGTGCCCCTCAACAACTTCCTGCATTCATCTTGTTTCAATATCTAAAGCTCCCCCCTACGTGTGCCTCTCAACAGATATCAACAGCTTCCTGCACTCATGCGGTTTCAATATATGAGCTCTTCCTCTCGTCTCTCCACAACTTCTTGCATGCATCGTCATTTGGGTTCAATGTCTAGGCTTCACCCCTCATCTCTCCACAACTTCTTGCGCTCATCTGGTTTCAATATCTAACTTTCCCTTTCCCCCCAATGTGCTTCTCAACTTCCTGCATCCATTTGGTTTCATATGTAGCCTTCCCCCCTGGCCCCCCCACAACTTCGTGCATTCATCTTGTTCCAATATCTAAAGCTCACCCCTACGTGTGCCTTTGAACAGCTTTGTGCACTCATGCGGTTTGAATATACAAGCTCTTTCTCTCGTCTCTCCACAGCTTCTTGCATGCATCGTCATTTGGGTTCAATGTCTAGGCTTCACCTCGCATCTCTCAACAACTTCTTGCGCTCATCTTGTTTCAATATCTAACTTTCCCTTCCCCCAATGTGCTTCTCAACTTCCTGCATCCATTTGGTTTCATATGTAGGCTTCCCCCCGTTGGCTTCTCCACAACTTCTTGCGTTTATGTTGTTTCAATATCCGATTTTCCCCTGCACCCCTGTGCCTCTCAGCAACTTCCTGCATTCATGTGGTTTCAATACCTCGGCTTCCCCTGTCTCTGAACAACTTCTTCCGCTCATCTGGTTTCAATATCTAACTTCCCCCCCCCATGTGCCTCTCATCCTGCATTCATTGGGTTTCAAAATCTATACTCTCCAGGAAATGCAGCGCCCCTCTCCTTGTGACACATTGGGTTCCCCACCTCCTTCCTATTCTGCTCGTTCCTCTCTTCTAGGGGCTCAGCTTGGTGCCGACCAGGGTGAAAGCACCCCCACTTAGGTATTCATCTGGTTTCAATATCTAAACTTCCGCCCTTTGTGCCTCTCAGCAACTTCCTGCGTTCATTCTCTTGGTCTCAAGATTTCCCCTTTGGCCCTTTAACAACTTTTTGCATGCATCTTCATGTGGTTTGCATGTCTCAGCTTCCCCCCCTGTCTCTCAACAACTCCTTGCGCTCATCTGGCTTCAATATCTAACTTCCCCCGCATGTGCCTCTCATCAAATTCCAGAACTTCCTGCATCATTGAGTTTCAATATCTATACTTCTCCCCTAGCCTCCGCACAACTTCTTGCGTTCATCTTGTTTCAATATCTAAACTTCCTCCCCGGTGCCCCTCAGCAACTTCCTGCATTCATCTTGTT